GGGGGGGGCAGGGCCGGGGTCACGGGAGGGGAGGGGAGGCCAGGGAGAAGGAGACCGCCAGCCCGGGCTTCTAGGCCTGGCTCCTCGCCTGGCTCCTCGGACCTGTAATCTCCTGCTGTGAGTGAATCACTCTGAGGCTACTAGTTTAAAAATAAACTACTACACATTTCAGAGAGAGAGAGAGAGAGAGAGAGAGAGATCTGAATTTTTGTCTTCTGGTCCCTGACCCAAGTTGGAATCCCAGCACTCTGGGAGGCTGAGGCAGGAATGTCGGATCTTGAGCCCAGCCAGAGCAATTTACTGATTTAGGGAGACCCTGTCTTGTAGAAAATACCAGAAGAGCTGAGGCTTGGGTTCAAGCCGTGAGGAAGGGAGCAGGGAGGTGGCCAGGCCAGCGGGGAAGTCAGCAGGCTGGACAGCTGGGCTAGGGTAGCTGGAGGCCCAGGTGCCGCCTCTCCCTCTCCGAGAAGGCACGCGGGGAGCTTGGCCAGAGCAGAGGGGTGGCCTCCCTGGCTTCTCTCCGGTCCCTTGGGGGCTGAGGGCCCTGTGTGCAGCACTTCCTTGAGGCAGTACAAGTTTTCTACTGAAACAAAAGCTCTCCTGGAGAATGCTTGCTTTTTGTTTGTTTGCTTTGCTTTTTGAGACAAGGTGTTGCTGTATGTTCCAGGCTGGCCTTGAACTTGCTATATAGCATAGGCTGACCTCCAATTCCCAGCAATTCTCCTGCCTCAGCCTCCCCAGTGCTGGGACACAGGCATGTGCCACCATGCCCGAGTATAAGGCTTTTTAAGCATCTTTCAACATCCTTGCGGTACCGCTTCTGTGGAAAAAGCAGATGTGACTACTTGCATATCCTTTTCTCCCTTTGCTAAATTTAGCTGCTAAGCACAGTTACCAACTCCGATTTAACACCTATTAATAGAAAGGTTTACACACACAGACCACTGTGGGTCGCTAGCCTGGTGGTGAAACTGTGTGCACTTGTACAAAGGCCAGGTCTGCTGGGAAAGAGCATGGCGCCTGCTCCCGCTGGGCAGGATGGGAACTTTGTCACCGGTGACCTGGGCCCCTGGCTGGCGAAGCCCCTTCTCACAAACCCTGAGTTTCTCGAGACCGAGGCTGTGAGTGTTCAAAAGTGACTGCCTACTCCCTCCACGCTGCGTCAACCCATAGTTTTCTTGACAATAAAACAAGGGGTTAGGCTAGGTTTGTCCTCAAACCTCAGCATGCACTGGAGTCCCTGGAGGGATGGGGAAACTGCAGTGTGCTGAGCCCTAAACCCAGAGCCTGCTGTTCTCAGGGCCCAGGGGACTGCCAGAAGCTGCACCACTGCAGTGTCCCATGTCCACGTCTGTCCCTGAAGCGCAGAGCTCACACACAGGAGGCCGTCACTGAGGAAGCTCAGCAGCCAGCTGGAACCTGAGGAGCTGGACCCACCCGTGCTGTGGCTTGTGTCTCAGTGTCCCCTCAAAGCCTCGTACGCTCACGGGAGGGCTTTCGAAGGCGGGTGGATCTAGGGAGTGTGAAAATGGATCCAGACCGTGGTTACTAAATGCGTGTGGCACAGTTCTGGGAGTGGATAATGGGAGCCCCATCCTGGTGTGGGTGGCACCAGTCAATAGGGTCTGCAGCCTGGACGGAATAAAAGGGACAGAGAGGGCTGGCTTGCCTTGGCTGCCGACCCTGCCGTGGACTCTTTCTCCTTTGTGATGCAGCCCTGCATCTGTGGACTGACGCCTCTACACACTGTGAGCTACAGTAAACCTTTCCTCCTTTACCTTTGGGTTTCAAGTGTTTTGTCTCAACAATGAGAAAAGTAACCAAGACAGCCCGAAGTTCTGCAGAAACAGCCTGGAACGGCATCAGTCTGTCTATCCTGTGGCCTGTGACCTTCCTGATGGGGTGTCCCACCAGGTGTGGAGCTGCCCCAAATGGAGCTCAACTCACATACTGGGCCCAGGACACCAGTGCTGCCACAGGAGCTGACCCAGAGCCAGAAACAGACCCAGCCCAGCAGGACCGAGCCACCACCGCACCACCACAGCACATGGCCTGTACCCTGCAGTCCCATTGTTCTGTTCTGGACATTTCTGCCCCCAGATTCCGGCGCTGAAACCCGAACCCCAGGATGAGGTGGGAATGGGTCAGCAACCTGCAAGAAGAGACCCCAGGACAAGACAGACCTCCTCATCTGCAGGCCAAAAAAGACCCTCACCCATGGTGGCACAGCTCCTAATCCCAGCACTCGAAGGCTGAGGAGGCAGGAGGATCGAAAGTTCAAGACCAGCCTGGGGTTTTTTGGTTTGGGGCAATTTTTTTTCTTGGTTTTGGTTTCTTGAGACAGCGTCTTGCTATATAGTTCAGGCTGGCTTTGAACTCACTATGTAGCCCAGTCTGGCCTCCATCTCCCGGTGAACCTCCTGCCTCAGCCTCTAACTTGAATACAAAACAAGTTCAAGGCCAGCCTGGACTGTACTATCAAGACCTTGTCTCAAAAACCCAAAATAAATAAATAACAAGAACAAGAAGGGGCTCACCAAGAGCTTGGCCTCAAGGACACTGTGACCTGAGACTCCACACCATGGGGAAGTTTGCCAGCTAAGCCACCAGGCCTATGGCTTTCTGTTCTAGCCACAGCGCTGGACCATGCTCACTTACACAGACACCTTCCTGCAGCCCTTTCCGTCCCAGGCTGAACTGTCAGGATTTGAGCTACTGACTGCACTGGGTTTCTCTGCAATAGTGAATAGGTGTTTCTTAAAACATCTGAATAATTAAAAGAAGTCACCACAGTGTTACGATCCAGAACCAGCTGAGGACCAGCCTTAAACACAGTCTTCCTGTCTTAAACAAAAACACTAGCCAGGTATTGGGGCCCACACCTGCCATCCCAGCGCCCTGGGAGGCTGAGGCACGAGGATTGCAAGTTCAAGCCCGGCCTGAGCAACTCAGTGACTTCATGAGATGCTGTGTCAAAAAATAAAACGGGTCGGGGTGTAGCTCAGTGCGAGGGCCCTGGGTTCAACCCACCCCCACCCCCACCCCGTCCTCCAACAAATAAAAGCGCTTGTAACACCTAAGAAGGCAGTTTCTCGGCTTCCCTATCAGAGTTTCAGAAACCACTGCCAGTGCAGCGCACCGTGAATGTTTACCCTGACTCCAGTGAAAGTCTGAAGTTCCCCACTGCAGGCGCCCGGCCAGAGCCAGAGGTCTCCGTGTGCCCTGGGAGCTGGGGCGGTGACTCAGCAGCCCGCTGGTTACTCCGCGGAGCTCTGTTTTTATTTTCATTATGAAACCAGGAACTAAATTCCAGGAACTGAGAGAGGCCAAGCTGAGCTAACAAGCAGGGCCAGCGCGGGGTTGACAAATCGGGGTGCACAGCCCCCACAGACTGACCTTGCTGTCAAGGTCAGGCGAAGAATGCCGGATCCGTGCCTCCCAACGACTTTGGGAGGGAATCAGAAGTGGCTCTGATGACTTTCCAGCTGCTCCGTGATTCCCCAGGGAGAACACGCCGGGCCTCTTCTGCTCCGGCTGCAGCACAGAGCTGACTCAGCCTCCCCGGGTGCAGCCGCAGGGAGCCAGCTGCAGAAGGCTGGGTGGAGAAGAGAGCAGCTGGTTTCCCAAAGCTCTCTGGGCCAGTAAGCTGTCTTGTTCCCCTAGACGGACAGCCTAGTCACGCCTCTATTTTGTTATTTTGGATTTTTGAGACAGGGTCTCACTATGTAGTTGAGACTGACCTGGAACTCACTATGGAGCCCAGGCTGGTCTCGAACTCAGCCTCCCCAGTGCTTGCACCACCACACCTGGCCACTCCTCTATTTTTACTTTTATTCCCCCCCTCTTTTGAGGGGGGCTACCGGGGATCAAACTCCGGTCCTTGTGCTTTTGAGACAGGCAGAGGCACCACTGAGCTACATCCCCAACCCTCTTGCTTTTTCTGTTTCGACAGAGTCTCCCCATGTAGCCGAGCCTGGCCTCCAGCTCGTGGCAATCCTCCTGCCTCTGCCTTCTGAGTACTGGGATCACAGGTGTGTGCCACCTCACCCAGCTATTTTATTTTTTATTGTGAAAATATACAAATACATGGAAAACTAAAAAGAATGTAATGAGCCCTCATCAAGCCTGGATCTAGTATAATTATTGCTGATATTTTATTAAATTTGTGTCACCTTTTTTTTTCTCTGGTTCTCTAAAATATTGGAATTGCAAGCAAAAGGACATTTCAGCCCTTAATGATTCCGTGGTAGGCAGCCTGTGAGATGGCTCATTACCGTCTGCCTCTGGGGGCCCACACCCCCCGAGTGGTCTCCGCATTCTGTACTGCAGACCACAGCTGTGCGGTGTGGCCAGTGGAGTACAGGACAGCCAGGTGCATGCGCGTAACCTCAGCACTCTGGGACACTCCGGGCAGGTTCTCTCATCTCTGCGGTCTCTTTTACCCTGAAATAACCAAGTGGTGATGTTAAAAAATGTCCACAAATGCCTTGATTCTCCAATTCAGAGACTCAGCTTTCCCGTGAGGTACGGCGTGTACTTGGTGACTGGCTTTTAGAAAATATAATGTGGGGAGGGGTTGGGGTGCATGCCTCCAATTCCAGCACCTGGGAGGCTGAGGCAGGAGGCTCACCATAGTTCGAGGCTATGCAGGAGTTCTAGGCCAGTCTGAAATGCATAGCAAGGCCCCGTTCAAAAACACTCCAAGCCTAAAAATAATTTAAAAATTTAAAAACAATGTGGCGATAATGACACTTTTGCCTTCTGAGGGCAGCTCACCAAAAGCATTGTGGCTTTCTCACGGAGAATGGCGAGACAGGTCTGGGGGCACCGATGTGCTTCATTTACAGTGGGGTCACTTTCCAGACCCCGGACTAGGGAGATCATCCGGGAAATGCGCCACATCCTGTCTGGCTCCTGTGGCTGGGGAGACACAGGACCGGCAGACGCTCTGGTGGGTGCCTGGCCCATCCCCCCGACTCCATGCCACTGTGAAGTGAGGACTCTGCTCGCCAGCTTTCCCGCATGATGCCCATGACACCCTGTGAAGGGCCAAGTTCCAAAGCCCCTGGCATTTGCCGCATCACCATTGCAAATCACGGGTCAGCCTAAGATGTATGACTCAGCGATGTCCAGACTAAGTGCCCTGGTAACCTAGCCCTTTACCACCCCTGTATTCCTGTGAACCAACACTTGAATTTTTGGTGGGTTTTTTTTTTTTTTTTTTTTTTTTTTTTTTTTTTTTTTTTTTTTTTTAGACAGGGTCTCACTATGTAGTTCAAGCTTGGCCTTGAAGATACTCCTGCCTCAGCCTCCCCGACTATTGTGATTATAGGCATGTGCCCCCACACCCAGCTCAACACTTACATTTGGAGGCCTCTTACAAGGATATTTATTGGATTTTAGGCCCATCCAGCTAATCCAGGAATATCTTGTCTCTAACTCCTTGATTTAAAGCAGCTGTAATAGTGCATACCTAAATCTCAGTAATCTGGGAGGCTGAGGCAGGAGGATTACAATTTCAAGGCCAGCTTGAGCAATTTAACAAGACTCTGTTGCAAAAGAAAGACAGACGAAAGGAAGGGAAGGAAAGGAAAGGAAAAATAAATGAAGGAAGAAAGAAAAGGTAAAAAAATATAAAAGACCAAAAAAATAGTATAAAAGATTTGCAAATACAATCCTATCCACAGATTCTACATATGAGGACCCAGACCCCATACTTCATTCAGGCTTCTCACCAGACTTCAGCCAACAGAATAAACTTATAAAGTGGTGCAGCTGTGGTATCCAGAATCAACAGGTCCCAGCCCTCGGGAGGCTGAGGCAGGAGGATCACTCCAAGTTCGAGGCCAGCCTGAGCTATATAGTGAGTTCCAGTACGCCTTAATTACATAGCAAGCCTCTGCCTCAAAAATAAAACAGAATTCACATTTTAAATATCCATAAAAGTCATGTGCAGTCTAAAAAAAATAGGAGGAAGCCAGATTCTAGCAAGCTTAAAACCTTTCCATGTTGAAAAGCTCAGGGCCTCTGTGAGAGTGGAGGTAAGAGTCCAGTGAGGGCGTCGCTAGAGCTGGGGAACGTGACCCGACACCCCTTCCGGAGGGCATATGAGCAGGGACACAGTGGGCAGGGCCGCACATGCTGTCAGATGAGAGTCCCACTCCCTCTCACCTCTCCTGGGCTCCAAAGTGACAGCAGGACAACTCAGTACCACCTCGCTGCTACTGAGGGAACTGGTAACTAAGTAAGAACAGGACGTGTGCTGAGTAAGACCTGTGTGTATTCAGTGACATGTTCCTCAGGTAGTTAAGGATTTGGCCAAAGGGAAGATCGGGTGTGCACCTCCAGTTTGAAATCTGCAGCTCAATTCTTGATTAACACATGTGTTTTGCGGATGAAGTATTACTAAATCTATTGACCATATTTGTGGGGGTCTAACCCATTGACTATGCCCAAAGCAGGCAGTGAGCAGTGCAGGCTGTAGAGTTAACCCCACAATCGGCTTGTTTAGAGAACTGAGTCTGACCAAAGCCTACCTGACTAGATAATTTGGCAGCAAGGTCAGAGTAACTAGCACCCAAATTCTGTTGCCAAAATTAAGAGTGCTTTGTCTCTTCACTTACAAGTCTTGCCTGCATCAGCAAAGTATCCCTAGCAACCACACAGAACCCTCTCACCCTAACCTATGAGGTCACCAATAAACAACAGCGGCTCTGGCTGGCCAGGGTCTTCGGCTGCTTGCACAGCACTGGCCATCCTGGCTCCCTGTTTCTCTCTTTAATTCTGTCTTTAACTTTTCCTTCTCACCTTGTGCCGTAGAATGAGCAAGAGACTGGATCCCCATCACAGAGATTTCTGGTACATATGGAAATGTATCAGAGAGAACTTTAGTGGTTACTTCATTTATTTAATTTACTAAATTTGGGCCGGGGATTTAGCTCAGCAGTTCGGTGGCCTGCAGTTCGGTGCCTGCCTCGCAAGCTCAAGGACCTGAGTTTGACCCCTGGTACCACAAACAAAAAAAAAAAAAAAAAAAAAAAAAAAAAAAAGAGCAACTTACTAAATCTCCTACAATTGTTTAGTATTAGAGAGTAGTTTTTGGTGGTAGTGTTCATTCAAGCAATGAAAATACTTTCAAAAGAAATCAGTTACATTCAATGTATAGATGTGATTAAAAAGATGTGAAGATGGTTAACTAACAAAGCTAGATGTGTAAGAAAAATGGGATCTGTAACCTTAATAACGATGGAAGAACAAGGATTTGGGATTTATAAATTTCACATATTGAAAATAACATAGCTGGGTATGGTGGTGGATACCTGTAATCCCGGAACTTGGGAAGCTGAGGCAGAAGGATTGCTGCAAGTTTGAGGCCAGTCTGGGCGCCACAGTGAGTTCAAGCTCAGCCTGAACTACATAGTGAGACCCTGTCAGAAGGGCGGGTGGGAGGGGGAGGAAGAGAAGAAGAGGAGGAGGAGGAAAATGACAGGTAAGCCCGAGGTAAACATCACCACGGTTCTTCCTGTATCCAAAAACTACTCCCAAGGATGCTGGAAGCTTCCACCAAGAAATCCATGCTATCACTGCCTGTGTCTGGCTGTCAACACTGCAAATATTCTAAGGTTCAATTAAAACACAGCAAATTACAATTTTTTAAAAAAATTTCTTTCTATTGTAGACAGCTAAGTTAATTAGATGTCTTGTGGGCAGTTAGACAGGGCTGGCCCTGGAATTGTCAATATGAAGGACAATCAAGATACTTTCACTGAGCTGGGCGTCGTGGCGCATGCCTGTAATCCCAGCACTCGGGAGACTGAGACAGGAGGATCGCTGTGAGTTCGAGACCAGCCTGGGCTACATAGTGAGTTCCAGGTCAGTCTCAACTACACAGTGAGACCCTGTACCCCGCCCCAAAATAGATACTTTCACTGAAGGTCAGCATTATAAAAAGATACAAGTCCTACACCTGCACACTTCTCCTAGAGATGAACAGCAGTGACTAACGTTCCACATAGGCATCAGTCACCTTAAGTGGGGACAGAAACTCTCTAGCCCACTTCCTTTCTGGAAATTCCTTGTTCGCTCTTGCTCCCTGACTTGTTTTCCCATTGGGCCACATTTAATCAATATTGCCTGGGTGACTGTGCTTGGGATCTTATAGGTTGATCATGGTTTCGTCCCATCCTATGTCCGCCTTGTGAAACCCCATTGGACCTTATTAGCAGACTAGTTTTGTCCCACTTTGTTCCTGCCTCACCTTGTGGTTTTGCTCAACAAAACACTCTTGAGAAGCAGGGTGGGCAGGCAACCCACTTTCCGGTCCCCCTCCGTCTCCCTGAGACTCAATACATTCTTCCTGCTCTTAACCTCTGCTGTTCCTAGGATTCATTCAATTTGAAAGAACACAAACTCCTGTTTTGAATGTCCGGCTGGGAGTTGTAATACTTCCCCCATTTGGGGTCATTCTGCGTATCCGGTTACCATCCACGCTCGGGTCCTGTGTGTCGGCACCCTGTCCGAGCCCCGTTCGGCTTCTGTGCGCCTGTGTGTGGACGTGGGGGGCTCCCGTGAGTGTCAGGGCTCGCGCGGATCTCTAGCCTTGGCGCAGATCGGAGCTCCGCTGCTAACTCAATGCCTGGGTAGTTTGTAAATGGGCTACGAGTGGTTCCTCCTCGTGCAGGTCTTACGTTTAAATAACGTGATACGAAGCCCTCGACGCCATGCTTGGCGCTCAGTGAGCGGTACACACGCGGAAGCACACGCGCGCGGACGTACGAAAGCGGAGTTCGCAAACGGAAGCGCCCTGTCTGCGGCCCTGCCCTACCCGGCGTCGCCTTGCTCCCCGCACACAGGGCCAGAGCACCAGCGCCCGACCTTCGCAGAAAGGCCCGGGCTGCACAGAACGGACTCTGGACCCCGTGGTTGTGCCGAGAGCAGCCTGGGCAGCCAACCGGGACCGCGGTCCCCTTAGTCATTCCGACCCCTCGGGTGTCTCCTTGGCAGTCGCACAGCCAGGGGCGAAGGGCGCGGAGGTGGGGAAGCACCTGCCTCTCCGCCCTGAACCAGGCGGGGTCATGGTCGACTTCCCAGGCTCCGGTGCCTCGTGCTTTTGTCAAGCAGCGGTCTGGAGGTTGCTGAGAAGATATTTTATGGATGTGGAAACATTTAAATCCACCGATTTGATTTTATTTTTTTCAGGCAGGGTCCTGCTACTCATTTTTACTTATTTTGACAGTTCTGAGAATTGAATCCAGGACCTTCACACTGAGCTACATCCCCAGCCCTCTTTACTTTTCGTTCTGAAACAGGGTTTTGCTGCGTTGCCCAGGCAGTACTTAAACCTGTGCTCCTCCTGCTTCGGCCTCCCAAAGTGCTGGGATTACGGGCACGTGTCACCACATCCTGCTACACAGCTATTCTTTTCCCTTTCTCTTTCCACTCCAGTCCCTCTTTCTCCGCTGCCTTTGATCTTTACAAAAATTGCTTACGTCAATTGTTCAACACAAAGGCAGAAAGGCTCCGACCGCCCCTGAGAATCTGAGCAGAGTGCAGGTATGGTCTCCTGCAGTGACTGTAACCCCAGCACTCCCAAACTGCTGGGCACCACATGCAGCAAGTCCATCTCCCCTGAAATGGAAACACGAACTCCAAGGGACAACGGAGGCTGAGCAGGAGGGTTCCTGAGAGGCAGCTCCTGAGAGACAGGAGGGTCCTGAGTGGGCGGCCAACGAGGCCCTATATACAGCGAAGTCACGGCGTGGGTCAAATACAATCAACCTGCAGGATCTCAAGTGTGGCTGCTTAGCTAATATTGATCGGGTAGGGAAGCGGAGTGCACAGCAGGGGTAGATGGCCGTGTCATTAACTGGGCTAATCAAAAGCTCATTAAACAGGAACACTGATTGGGGAAGGGTGGGTCCCAGGGCTCTGGTCACCTCCCAGGTGTCTGATGCCTATCTGGACTTCATGGACTTCCTTAGGGAAGCACGAGTCCTGGTCTCCACCTGCACCTGCAGCCAGTGTTGATGTGTTCTCATCTCCTGCATGTCTCCCTGAGGGCCTGTCCCTGTGTGACTGCCTGTTCATTTCCACCTAATTTGCCTGCCATTAGTAAGAGGACCCCTGTCGCGAGCCGCGAGGTCAGGATCCTGCCAGCAGGTCCTAAACCTGAAAGGATGAGGACAGAGAGACGGAAGGCACCTTTCTTCTCATGTTCCTTGCTTGCTTTATTACAGAACCTCTCCCTTTTATACTCTCCAGCTTCATGGAAGCGAGGGCTGCACGGGAGCGAGGGAGCGAGGGTACCGCCCACACATTCCAGAGGGAAACAATAACAACCATTATGGGTTACATCTGCTACCAGCTGAACTCGCCTGTGGCTATGGGTGAGAGCACATCCGTGCCAGCGAGGTGACTCAAAGTTCAATCATGGCTAGGCCTGTGTCAAGGCTCACCATAATGGCTCGCCATAGACCCCAAGTGTGAGGCCAGCCTGGGCCATCTGGCCTCTTGAGGAGACCCCACAGTAAGAAAGCGCTGGGGATGTAGCTCAGGGGGAACCCAAAGTTCATTTCCGGTGTGTGTGTGGGGGCTACGCCGCCCCCTGGGCAGGAAGAGTGCCCCAGCAGAGTGCACATTGTCAGGTCCACACCCGCTCTCACTGCGGCCCACAGGAGCTGTTAGCTAATTTCTCAGGAACTCAAACGAAGCTTCTTCAAGTGGCAAATGAAGCTTCTTCAAGTGGCTGATCGTTGCTCAATTCTGTCCTCCCATCCTTCAGAAATCATCAATTGATCCTAAATGGAGCATCTGTTACAGAGACGCCCAGAGAAGCTCCACAGACTCTCAAGATGCTTTCCTAAGGTCTTGAGGCCAGGTCAGTTTGCCCTCCTTTGGGTACCATCACTAAGTCGAGCTGGAGCAGTAAGTCTTGGAGTAAATGGATGCACCTCGTTTGCTGTGGGGTTATTTTGCGGTTACACACCCTGAGTAACTCCTTGAAGAACTTTTCCACAACCCTGGGTCAGTGGGATCCTCTGTCACTGAAGACCAGATTTGCTAGGCAGGGCATGGTGGTGCTTGCCTGAAATCCAAGCACTCAGGAGGCTGAGGCAGGAGGATTGCAGGGATTTAGAAGCCAACCTAGGCTACGTAGTGTTCAAGTTCAGCCTGAACTATGCAGCAGGATCCTGTTTCAAAAACAAAGAAACAAATGTGAAAACCAAATTTGCAAACTACAAAGACAAGCCAAACACTGAAGCCAAAGGTGAAAGGACAGTGGGTAAGCAGCAGCCCCACACCCTCTCTAGAGAGGAGGCCTAGTCGGATTGGAAGATGCAGCGGAATCACGCAGTTCACAGCCTCTCCTATCCCACCTCGCAGGTGAGGATTTCTGTTTCCCTCAGTCAGGACTGCCGGAGGCGGGATTTCTGCTGATCAGGAAGTAGCCCGCACTGTGCCATTTCCACGTCCCTGCCCAGCACGGTCCCCTCGCCCTCAGCTCTCACGTCCAGGATGTGCTTCCTCGGGCTCCCACACCCTAGACTCAGTACCCCGACACATGTCGCTCTTACAGCCTTGTAAGGGCTGGCAAAGCAACTGTGCAGGCCACACCGTGCGAGCTCTCGTTGTTCCAAGAGGAAGCAACAAATGGGTCAGTTGTGAGAAGTCTTCCCACGACGTTTGTCTTGACCAGCTCTGACCAGTGGATGAGACCAGGGCAAGCCAGGGTAAGGCAGGAGAAGACTGGAGCCACGAGCTAAGAGCAGTCAGGACAGGTTCCCTGGGAATCCCTGGCCTCTTCCATTCCTACAGCTAGGGCCGGGGATTTAGCTCAGTGGTTCTGGCGCCTGCTTCACAAGCACAAGGACCCAAGTTCGATCCCTGGTACCAAAAAAAAAAAAAAAAAAAAAAGGTATAAAAACCACAGCTAGGGTTTTCCACCCCTTCCCCCACCCCTCCTCGCATTGCCCCAGTTACACCTAAGCAAGCGTGGCCGCGACTCCCTTCGGCCACCATTATGATCATCGATCCAGACCTCATCAGCCACGATGAGATGTTCTCCGACATTTACAAGATCCGGGAGATCGCGGGCGGGCTGTGCCTGGAGGTGGAGGGCGAGACGGTCAGTAGAACGGAGGGTGACGTTGATGACTCGCTCGTTGGTGGAGATGCCTCCGCTGAAGGCCTGAAGGGTGAAGGTACGGAAAGCACAGTAGTCACTGGTGTGGACGTTGTCGTGAGCCATCACTCGTAGGAAACCAGCTTCACAAAAGAGGCCTACAGAAGTACATCAGAGGCCGGGCATGGTGGCACATGTCTGTAATCCCAGCACTCAGGAGGCTGAGGCAGGAGGATCGCTGTGAGTTCCAGACCAGCCTGGGCTAATAGTGAGCTCCAGGTCAGTCTCAACTACATAGTGAGACCCTTAAAAAAAAAAAAAAAAAAAAAAAGAAGAAGTACATCAAAGGTTATATGAAATCAATCAAAGGCGAACTTGAAGAACAAAGACCAGAAAGAGTAAAACCTTTTATGACGGGCTGCAGAACAAATCAAGCACATCCTTGCTAATTTCAAAAACTATCAGTTCCTTATTGGTACAAACATGAATCCAGATGGCAGGGCTGCTCCCTTGGACTACCGTGAGGATGGTGTGACCTTTATGATTTTCTTTAAGGATGGTTTAGAAATGGAAAAATGTTAATGGATTCAGCGGTTAACTTGGATGTATCACTTGTCATAACTGCTTCTTGTCATCCACACAACACCAGGATTTTAGACAAATGGGACTGATGTCATCTTGAACACTTGGTTTATTTTGATCATGGTTTATTTGGAGTGGAGGCATTATTTTTTTTAGAGAAAAAAACAAAACATGTCATGTAGGTTGTCTAAAAATAAAGTGCATTTAAACTAAAAATAAAAACTACAGCTAGGGACAGCATGATGGTACAGGCCTATAATCCCAGAACTCTTGGAGGCTGAGGCAGGAGGATCACATGTTTGGGTCCAGGCTGGACAACTTTGCAAGACCCTATCTCAAAGAAAGAAAGAAATGAAAGGAAAAGGGCTGGGGATTTAGCTCAGTGGTTCCGCCACCCATCTCTCAAGCGCAAGGTCCCGAATTTGGTCCCCTGGGGATTTAGCTCAGTAGCACCACACCTGCCTCACAAGCATAAGGTCCTGAGTTCAACTCCTGGTACAAAAAAAAGAAGAAGAAGAAGAAGAAAAAAGAAAAAGAAAAGAAGGGCTGGCAACATAACTCAGTGCAAAGGCCCTGGGTTCAATACCTGGTACCATGAACAAAACAAAACAAATGAAAAACTATACTTAGGGCCATGTGGTAGAGACACTAGCCCAGCATGCATAAGTTTGAGTCAACAGCACAGCAAAAATAAGCCCAGCAACTGTAGCTAAGCCATTTCATACAAGTTATTTCATACCTACATAACGAAATCCTAAGCAAAAGCTGGTCTTCCATATTCAGGGTGCCAAGTCAGGTTTTTGGTTCTGTTTTTGAGACAGGATCTGGCTATGTAGTCCAGGCTGGCCATGCACGCGCAGCGATCCTCTTGCCTCAGCCTCCCAAGTGCTGGCATTATAGGCATGCATCACCATGCCTGGCTCAAGTAAGATCTTTAAAGCATCTTCTTTAGGGACGTTTGAGAGAAGATGTGTATTATCTGTATGCTGAAGCTAGTTTTCTATCTATCTTTTCCTTTTGGTCTTTAGTTTGTGTTATTATCGTCAGGGGTAGTTCTTTTTCTTTCTTTCTCCGTACTATCCAGGCTGGCCTTGAACTCACTATTACACACCACTGACTTCAAACTTGAAGTCAGCTTCCTGAGTGTTGGAACTGATGTGCATGCCCAAGCCTGGCAAACAGTACCTGGGATATTTGCACAGCTGGGACCCTAAAGTGACTCCACAGAAAATAGAGGAAAGGGTCAGCTTTCAGCCAGAGCCCTGGGTTCACAGTATGGTACAGTCAGCAGCTACTCACTGAATTTCTGACTCAGTGTCCTGCTCCGCAACATGGAAATCTTGTAGCAAATGGAGATTACAGCACCGCACTCTTCAGATTACCACCGAGCATAAATGAGCAAGGCACAAAGGTCCTGGCATAGAATAACCGTCAGTAAATGTTAGCACTGTGCACACCCCTCAGACTCTCCCCAACGACAACACTTTGACAACAAAGACTTGCCCCGCACAGAACACAGGAGTGTGGTAGGTGGAATGGGGTTGGGGCAGAAAGAAGATTCACCCTGGTACCCGGATCCAGTGCCCCCCATTGTGGCGTCGCCCCCCCCCGTCCTGAGCCGTGGATCCAGCCTGAACCACACAGCGAGACTCTGTCTCAAAAAAGCAAGACCAAACAATCGAATATGAAGCTTCCTTTCCATTTGCCCCATACTGAGCTTCATAATCTAACACTTCACTTACACACTGCTTAACACAAGTGGTCTCACATATTTTAAAAATAAAGATGATAATGCAAAGGAAATAATTATTTAACCCTCAGAAAACTACTGCAGTAAACCCTTCGAATAAGAAGCAAAAGTATCATAAGCCACTGTTTAATATTTACACAAAGCCTGAGTAACTCTGAGGTAAACACTCCAGTTTTATGAGATTAAAATGAAGACAGGTTTATAGCAGCTATATTTATAGCTGCCCCAAACTGGAAAAAGCCTAAGCATCTAATGACTGGATAAACAAACCCCAGGGCACCTACACAGTGAAGACCACTGGGATATACATAGGAGCCGTTATTCATGCATTGTAAAGAAAGAAGGAGCTGAAAAAGTCTGAAAACATTCTGCCAGACCGTTCTACTTGTGTGGCATTCCGGAAGGGAGGAGAGACTGCAGCAGGTGGGGAGGGTGTGGGCCCCCCCGCCCCGGGCTTGAGGTCCTGGTTTGATGCGGGGGGAGATTTCTTAAGAAGTCCTTGCTGAAATCACAACTAGAAGAGAAAGTTTCATTTAAATTCCTGCAAGAAAAGTCATGATAGAGGGTGAGGGAACAAAATGACCCTCCTGCTTCACCCCCGCAAGTCCTGCAATTACAAGCGTGTGTCACCACACTGGCCATCAACTACCTTTTAGTTCCAGTGATAAAATTCCTCAATTTAAGTGGGTACACACTGTAATTTAGCATTCACATCTAAGTTCGTGGGCTTTTCCCTGCGGATGGACTTCTCCTGAGAACTCGAGGTTTCCAAAGGGATGATCTGACTGCAGCCCGAGACTCGGATCCCTGAACGTCCTCTCAGGACCTGGATGTAGATGTTATCGCGGGATTCCTCCATATTTGACTGGGGTGAAAAGACACCAAGGAGAGCTCCCCAAGATGGGCCTGCCTGCATCCTCCAAAGTGTGTTTTTATTTTGCTTTTTCCTCTTTCACTTGGCCCCGGATCACTCTGCAGAGCCAGTTTCTCCTTGACTCTTCACTTTTACCTTTTCTTCTTCTTCTTCTTTTTTTTTTTTTTTTGGTACCGGGGATTGAACACAGGTCCTTGTGCTTGTGAGGCAGGCAGTAGAACTGCTGAGCTAAATCCCCAGCCCACCATTTTTACCTTTTAAAATAAACTCTGCCACTACCTTTTGAAAAATAAAAAATAAATTCATGGGCTTTCTTGAACAACTTGGCTTTGCTTTATTGTTTTGTTTGTGGGACAGAGACTCACTACATTTTAAATTGCCCAGCCTGGGCTTGAACTTGGAATCCTCCTGCCTCAGCCTCTGGGGAGATCTTTTATGGGAAACAGATTCCATTCTGTCACTTGGATGCCATTTGTATTAGTTACTTAAGTCTGTACTATGGTGTCCTGATAACCTAGTGGCTTCCAACAGCAGTGTCGTTTCTCAGGTCTCCACTGCTCTCCCGTGGACTCAGACAGCTGGTGGAGAGGCTGAGGCTGGCAGATCTCCAAGGCCTCTATCACATGCTTGGGGTCTTGGTGTGGCAGTCAGTCAAGCTGCTCTCTCGCTGAGGTCCCTGGGTGCTCTCCGAGAGCGAAAATGGAATTCACAATGTCTCTTAAGGCCTGGTCTCAGAGTTTGTACAGTTCTACTGTGTTGTATTTAGAGCAAGCTCCGGGCCAGCCCACCACCAAAGGGGTGGAGAAACGCCCTGGTGAAGACAGGCACGCAGTGGACCGGAGGCTGGGACTGCAATCGCCTGCCACACTGTCGCCACTGACACATAAACTCACACAAGTGCTGTTTGAGTTCACTCTTGGCCCAGAACCACAGACTGGCTGAAAGCAGGCTAAACACATTTTGGATCAGAGGCACATGTGCAGTCCAGCCCCCATGTCAGCCCTTATTTCTAAACTCAGTTATAGAGGAGTAAGGGGAACTTGGTTCCCTGGTTTGCTATGGGGTTTTAATCATCAACAAAGAGAAAAATCCTGCAGAATACACCCACTACATTAAAAGCTCTATTGTTATGTAACTGTAGGTCAACTTTCTTCAGTTTCCTAATGTCTAAACATTTTACAAATTGTAGCGTTATGAAAGGGTCCGATTCCCAGGAGAAGATGAGAGATGAGTGTAACTGTGCACTGGACAGACTGCTGGTGGGTCCCTGGGGCGGAAGGCAGAGACAGGCCGGGGTCTCACACTCTGTCCCTGGTCTCCGCGGGCTGCTGGCCCTGTGGTGCTGGCAGAGGAGTGATGCGTGGATGGGGCTGGGGCCCTGGCTGAGATCCGATCACCTGTGCAGGCTGGGACAGTTCCACGGGCGCCCGAGAGGGAAGGGCTGTGTGGAAAGCTCAGGTGAGGAAACTGGTTCCCTGCCTGCCCCAGCCATCACCTTGCCACACCCTCCGCGTTCCTCCCACCTGGGAGCTTCCATGCCAGCTGTTTTCACTGACCGGGAACTTGAGCCCATGGGCACCTGGACCAGTAACAAGACTCAGGGCTTGAAGGCCCAGATGCACTCCCAGCCTAAGGGTCCGGGCCCTTTCTATTAGCCCCCAGCCTGCCTGACCGCGGGGTGGCAGGAGACTCAGCCTGCGCTGGTGACAGGCAGTCCTACAAGGACACCGTGTCGCTGTGAACTTCTGGGAGCTCGTGAGCAAGCACAGAGAGGCAACACAGACAGCAGTGGAGGAAGAGAAAGGGCGGCTTCCAGCTTCAGGGCCAGGGATCCCTTTCGGGCAGTTACAGACTCTGAGACACACCCACCAAGAGCCTGGAGGTTTGGAAAAGTATCCCTGGGTGGGCAGGGTAGGAGCTGCAGGTGGA